GTCCCTGGCATATGTCTTAGAGATTTCTATGCGGTACGCAATGTGTTAAAAAAGGAAGTTGTGATACTGACTAAACATTATTTGTATTTTTAAGTGTTCATAAGAACAAGAGCTATAAGGGTAAGGAGACCTTTCAAGTTGGAACTATTTAATTGGCTGAAGAAAACTTATCAGGGAAGGTAACATAATTAGTCCTTTGCACAACTTGATTAATTTTCATCTTTACTCTTAAGATTCTTTGATATGTCTTTTTTTTTTTAAGTTTGAGAAGAATGAGTTGAAGGGAATCAAAACTAGAGATCAAGCAGTCAGGTGGGGAGCCTGATGGAATAATCTAGGCAAGAGGTAACCATGGCTTTGATTGGGATTGTAGCAGTGGGGATGAAAAGAAAGACATTGAAGGGAGCCTTAGGAAGAGGTATTAGTGAGATTTCATGACTGATTGGAAAAGCTGAGTTAGAGAATCAAGGTTACTCCCAAAATTACGGCATAAACATCTGGATGTATGGAAGTTGGCAGCAGGACCAGGTTCTTTTAGTTTGGGTGTAAGGAGAGGATGTGTTCTGGTACCTGCAGGACATCAATTGGTGACGCCAAGTAAGCATTTGGATAGTTAAATCCAATGCTTAGAAGGTTAGGTTGGAAAACATGATCTAGCATATAAATTATAATTGAAGCAAGAATTTTCTAGGGAGAGCAGGTAGAATGGGAAAAGGATAGAATCCCCTAGGATGGAATCCTGATCAACACCAACATTTAACTTTTGGGTACTTAGGGAGGAGCCTGCAGAAATTGAGAAGTTGCTATAAAAGAAGTGGGAAGGAAATAAATATTTAGTAAATAGAACAGCCAATTTTATTGAGTTCAATTCTTCTAACTTCTCAGTATATTCTTCAGTATTTTACTTCCCACACTATTTTTTCTAGGATCTGCACTATACAAAATAATTGCCACTAACTAGCCACATGTGGCTTTTAAAATTTGGTTACACTTAATCACATCAAGTTCTCGGTAACCGTGGTTGGTTTCTATTACATTAGTATAGATACAGAATGTGTCTGTCATCACAGAAAAGCATGTTGGACAGTGATCCTAGTTTCTGGCCACTCTTCTCCACAATTAGTTTTCAGCCCTGAAAGAGAGAGAGATGACACATAAGTGTTCATTCAGGTTGGGCTGGTGTGCTATCTTATTTCCCTAAAGAATTGGGTGGAGGATGCCAGATAAGGATAGTTATGGGCAGGTCTTCATGGTCTTTCCAATAGACTTATATGATTGATTATATCCTTATTTGAGTCCCTTAAATCTTATCTCTAGAAATGTCACCTGTTTTTCTTTATGAAAAAAGTTATTGTTTGCTCCTTTCCATATTCTAATTATTTAATCAACTGATTTATGGTGGTCTTTCTCCCTTTTATTATTTAGCTTTATTTATAAATCTTTTGGAGTAGATTAGATTTGAGATAACTGGTCAAGTCTATACACTTATTTTTAACTCATCTTTGAATAGGACTAGCTTGACTGGTCTAACTGAAGAACTAGATTTCCATGGTTTTAGCCCTGCTAGCAAAAATCAGGCCTAGGAAGAAAATGTCTATATTTGGGAGGGTCATAATTCAAAATGTACACAAGAAAATTCTGACTCAAAAAGAATATAAAATATTAAATTTAAGTGACTAGATTATTGGCTCTTTAAAGATCTGTTAAGTGATCAGACTATCAGCTCATACTATTGTTTTTTTTTACTGAGATTTAAAAAACTGATTTTTTCCTTTAAATTACAAATGCTATAATATTGAATGAGTTAGTATATCTTACAAATATTACCTTCAAATTAGGCAATGTGAATGTCCAAATCTTTTTAAAGATATCACCTGATTGAATATATGGTTACTTTAAATTTCCCTCTTGAGATTAGAGATAAGAATCTGAATGCCTGAATTTTTTTTAGTTTTTATCAATGACTGAAAAACAATTAGAAAACCTAATTTTAATATTTATATCTTAGGGAGTTTGTGTGGTTTTTGTTAATCATTACCCAAGAATATTTTGTACATTGATTTTTAGAGCAGAAAAGTGGAAGGGAGGGGTAGAGAGAGAAACATCGATTTGAGAGAGATACATTGATTGCCTCCCGCATGAGCCCGACCAGAGCCAGGGATTGAACCTACAACTCAAGTACATGCTCTTGAATAGGAATCGAACCCATGCCCTTCAGTGTGCAGGCCGATGCTCTAACCATTTAGCACACTGACCAGGGCTATATCTTAGGGAATTTTAATGCACAGTGTTTAAGCATCTAAATGTCCAAATTTGCTGTGGCAGAAGTATTCAGAATGCTTGGAATTAGCCTTTTAGTTTCTGAAGTGTAGGCATACCATGTATGTGAGTACATATTTATGAATATGGGAGATAGTCAAAACATAATGGAGAAAACATAAATGAAGTGAACTTATGTTTTAAGTCAGGCAGGTGATTGATTTGTAAAGAAGTTCCTGGTGTTGATTTTGGAGGATCATTGTTTTGTTGAATTTTATTTATTACAGATAATATGCCTTGTAAGTAGCACTACTTAGTATAAAATGTTTATCATATAGCTTGTCAAGCACTTGCTATTGAGGTCACAGTTTAATGGATTTCACACATATTTGAGTAATCTACTTCTAAAAAATTAAGAATAGCTGATTTCATTCAGAGCTCAATTTTCCTAACCTCCAAACAAAGCACCTCCTGTTATTGCTTATTAAGGGCCATCCTGAGGCAATTGAGAATATGGTTGCCTTTAAAAAAATACTCATAGACTGGTTTATAGAAAATAAAATATTAACATGGAGAGTTAGGGATGAACCTGGGTTTAGAATGATTACCATTTTCCATTAAAATGTTTGATGACTTTTTTTACTTTTGTGAACATTAGCTTAGTTGCAAATAAGAAATCTACACGTTTTGGCCTTTGATGTCAACTTCAAAAGAATATTGTATAGTCAAGAATTCTAAGTAACCCCTACCTTATTTAGATTGAAGATGAAAACTAAAAGCAAAATTGTTCTAGTTTTCTGTTTTTGTACAGTAATAACTTATCCTGTTACTTCCCTAGGGCATAAGCAGTTTTACTACATCATTAGGTGAGATACCTGAGTGATAAGGTTTACTTTTTTCATTTTACATATATACACATACATATGTACTTATACACATTTCATGGAGATTGCATTTCTCCAGCTTTTCTAATACATTTGAATGCCATGTAGTAAATGCCAGCTTTTTAAAATATACAATTCTAAAATATACAAACAAATCTAAGTTGAAGAATTTGCTTATATCTAAGAACCTTGGCAGTTATTTAATAACTTTTATATATTACTAGAGGCCCGGTGCACAAAATTCATGCACTGGGTGGGTGTCCCTCAGCCCAGCCTGCCCAATTTGAACTTCAGTGATGGTTGTGCCTCTTCTTTGGTAGCTAATAATGTAAGTAACTGCGTGTATCCTTACATATTATGAACTGTTCCAAAACCTTTGATCTCCACCCCCTCCTTTGCTTTTCACACAGAGAGATACCTATTAAAACCCATTAAAGCCATATCTTCCCACTTTCATGTTGTTTTTAATTATTATTTCTCATGCTAATTTATTAATTAGCTGTCAAACTTTAAGTTGGGCAATCTTAGGATCTATTTGCATGTCTGAGGAAAATTCAAATTAATAAAGGAGAAAGTGTTGCCAACTAAAATGCTCTCAATGCATAATGGGCACCTATTAAATATCAAACACTATGTTACGTATTTTCCATGTATTTGCTCATTTAATCTTCATTTAAGAATGTGCATGAGGTGTGTACAAGTATTTCCCCCATTTCCATATGAGGAAACGGGCCCAGAAAGTTAATACAATGCTTACGTGACAGAAACAGGACCAGAACCCAGGTTTGTTTTGCTCCAAAGCTCAGACTCATGACTTGAATGCCTCCCCAGGCAGGGTTCCCTTTAGGATCAAGGACCTTGAGCTTTGTCATTAACTAAGGAGGATAGAAAAAAAGAAATCATTTCTAGGGAGCCATGATAGACCACCTCTTAAATTGTGTGTGTGTGTGTTTTGGGAACCCTGTCTCCTTGGTTTCTTTGAGTAAATGTGAAGGGTGATTCACATTACCTAATCAGATTAATGGGATGTTAGTTCAGGAGTTATTAATGTTGGCAACAATTAATAGGGCCAGTGGATTTGGCTCACCTGTTATGCCTGAGAATATCACTTTCCATGACTATTTCAAGCTTTGCTTTTCCTTATGCTTCTGAACACAGCAGGCAAGATAACTCACCTGGATTGGGGGCGCGGGGGACACTTATTTGTGAGGGCCTGCTTGAAGGCCTGCAGGAGGGGATGGTAGATTCATATGTGTGCACAGCCCTCACATTTCAGTGGAAACACAAACATGTCCTGTGGGGTTGGGCAGCAGCAAAGAGTCAGATGGGAGCCCAAACTTTGTTGGCATCCTGAAGGTAGAGATGATCCTGGCAGACTGCTGACTTCCTGGTCTTGCCCAGAGGCCCTTGCAGAGACAGAAAACACCTGGCTTAATCTTCCAGGCTGGGGCAGGATGGGCTAGCACTTCAGAATCTTGTCGATGAAGGTGGTGGCAGGACTTCACTTGTGAGTATAGTATAGCGGGATTGGCCTGACAGTCAGTGATGAGAAATGGATGGTGGTACTTAAGGCAGTTCCCAGGACAACACTCTGCAGTCCATGCTTTGCTTTTAGCTTACATTTGCCTTCAGTGACAGTGTGATTCCAAAAGGGCTCCAGCACAGGTACAAGAAAGTGAAGGAATTGAATAATAGCTCAAAGGAAGCAATAGATTATTTTCCTAGTGACTGCCCCCCCCCCATCCCCGTCCTCTGTGTCAGCAATACAGCCACTTGACAGATGTTTAGTTCCAGCTGTGCACACGGCATGGACGGCAGTGGGAACATTGTGTTCCCCACCTGCTCATTGTGTTCAGATGGCTGAGGGTGTGTTTAAGGTCTCTCTGTGTGGGTGTGTAGCCTGATTGTGTGTGTACTAGTATGTGTCCAAACTACCGTTTGTGGGGGTTATATCACAGCCTAGGAGTCCAAGTTAATAAGGCACGTAGCTTTTTCTTAGTCAAGTCTTAAAACACACACACACACACACACAGACAAAACAAATAAAAAGTAAGCTATTAATACCACCTCTCTCCAGTTCCTCACTCCCTTTAGATGAAGTCAGGTTGTATTTTGGTGTCGTTTTGCCTGACACTTTAATTGCAGATGTAATAGTAGATTCCAGAAATTTATTGTGATCTTTTTACTAAAAAAAAAAAAACTTATTTGACCATATTGTTAACTTTCCTTTAATATATTTTTATTGATTTTAGAGAGAGAGAGGAAGGGAGAGGGATAGAGAGCTAGAAAAATTGATCATCTGCCTCCTGCACGCCTCCTACTGGGAATCAAGCCCACAACCTGGGCATGTGTCCTGACCGGGAATTGATCCAGTGACCTCCTGGTTCATGGGTCAATGCTCAACCACTGAGCCACACAAACCAGGAGGAAATTTGATTTTTAATAAACCTGTTTTGGGTATGCTCTGGGAATACAAAGGTGGTCAGGATAGTCCTTTTCCCTCACTAGATTATCGTACAAATGAACAGATAAGCTAGTGGAATAAGGGTTCACCCAAGCTATGGAAGAAACATTTACAGGCACCCAGGAGAGGGAGTGGCTACTCCCACCGAGGGGAGGCTAGCAATCCTGGGGTTGCACAACCAGTTAGTGTAGTGCTTGCTGTCCCAGCAGATTGGCCGTTGGGAAGTGTTGTGTCTGATGCTTCCTCCAATGCAGCAGGATCATATGTGGAATGAAAGAACGCATCGTCCTAGACTGTGCTGCCCTAGGAGCCATGCATGGACGAGGAGCTCAGGGATGCAGGGAGGATTGGCCAGCTGGTCACTACTCTCATTCCTGATGGACCTCTTGCAGGTCCCCCTGTCGTGTGGCAGAGGGAGTTAGAGATCTTGTTTGGCTTATAATCAGGAAACATGGGGTCAAGGTTTTACCCTGCTGCTGATTACTTGGGCAGGCTAAGCTAGTCTCTCAGGTCCTTGTTTTCCCCATCTGCAAAGGCAAGTAATAATAGCTACATATTAGGGTTGTTTGGGGAATAACATTAAATATCTGGTACATAAACTGCTCAGCATTGTGCCTGACAGGGGTCAGTGCTAATACATAGTATTTATTTTTATTAATGGACCTCTATTTGTGTGCCCAGAGCTGACTCATCCTTAGGCCGTCAAAGTCAACCTCCATATTTACAACAGCTCTTAACTGTTCTGCCCAGATCCCTGGAGGGCTATGACACCCTCCTAGCTGACCCACCAGGGCACTGATTCTCAATCTGGGGCCCATTCTTCCTAGCTCAGGTTGGCTTGAGAAAAGTCCTCAGGTCATCTGAACCCCCTCCCTGGTCCCCACTGAGACTTTTTGCTTGGGGCAGTGAGTCTTAAGCAGGGTGTGTGTTAGCTTAGCATCCCCCCCGCCCCAGCTTTGCTAAAATACACAAACTGCATCCCACTATGACTCATCGGACTTGCATAATGGTGGAGCACTGGTAAGTGTGTGTTACCTTTCCAGGCAATGCTGATAAACAGGCCTGGTTAAGAAGTGCTATCTTTGTGGATGTCTCTCTGCTCAACGCTGTTTCACCAAGCTAGCATAGCACTGAAACTTCTAGCAAAAAGTAATGGTGGCCAGTAGCTTTTCAAAGCTCAGAGATACTGATCCTGGTGTCAAACCAAGGAGGCAGAGTCTTTAGAGATGAGGTAAACGTGTCAAGAGGAGGAACTCGGGGGTATAAAGGGACTCTGCGTACAGCCCCGGACATGCTGTATACTGGGTGCTTAACAAGAGGCAGTGATGATTATCATTAATAGTTGTGTATTGGGCTAGCTCCTTGAAGGCCTGTATCCATTTTAGGATAAAAGACTCCAAACCAGGAAATTAAGAAACCAATTGGCTGTTTGGGAAGCATTTAGAAAATGTGATGAGAGGTGTCATGCACAGGCTAGTAGCAGAGATTTCAAGGAAGAACAGCACTGTGGCCTCTGTTCCCATTTCCCCTTTTGCTTCTGAAATGAGAAAGGAAGGAGAGTGTGTTAGCAGCTGGTGCCGAGACGGGCAGTGAAAGCCTCTCAATACTCAGCCCTATGTTCTGGGAACGACATGGTGAACCCCAGACTGCCACGGGCTTTGAGTTTTGTCTCCGCATTCATTCTTGACGTTTGGGGCTCCTGGTTGCTGTGCTAAGATGAGTGTAAACACGTTTCCAACGGAGCCTCGTGCAGTTTCTGCTCCTGCCAAGAGACTCGGAGCTGAGTTCTGAGTAAAAGATGGGAAACGATGGGCTCAACGGAAGGAGGAAATTCTGCCTTTTCAGCCTTGAGGTGATCCAGAAAAGGGGATGAGAGAGACTCCTCAGAATTAAGATAGGAAGGAGAGTCCCCCTCCCCCCAACCCCCCAAGCAAAGACTGGGAGATAAAGGCACTGCAGTCAAATGAGATATCTGTGAAGTACTTTGAAAGTACTTTAGCTAGACTCTGTGACTCTTTACATCGAGAGCAGTAGCATCAATAACTTTATCAGCAACTTGAGTTCAAGGTGATGCTCAAGGTCCTGAATTAGTCCCCCGCCACAACCCCCACCTGAGCCTGCATCCTGCTGTGCAGAGGTGATCTGTTCAATCCTTGGAACTTCCAGCTAAGGTGACTGCATAAGCTTTTGCTGTAAGAACTTTCCTTGAGGTCTAATCTCTCTTTTGCTGACAGTTCCTATCCTCTTGAGCCTTACTCCTCAACTGCCTACTGCTTATTGGAAAAGTGCAGATAGCCCAACACAGGCTGGTGCTCTAGAAACTGTTACAATTTATTGAAGGACATCAAGCATGCGGAGAAAAACAAGCCATTTGCCCCAACTCTATGCTATTCCTATCGCAGAGAACATGGAGTCTCTCTTCTCTTGGCCAGCAACCTCCCCTTACTAAAAGATGGGGTGTGTGCATTTGTAAACTGGGGGTGGGGTGAGAGGGGGGGGTGGAGTCTAGCTTTCCTGCCGCAACCAAGACAGGATGGTTCACAGCTGTCCAGAGAGGCAGGGTCCAGGCCTGTTGGATCGCGGGAAGGGTGGGCTATGCCAGTCCAGGGTGGGTGTCAGTCCTGGGCTCTGATGCAGGACGAGCCCTTCCTTTGTCTGACCTTAGCAGACAAATCCCCGCTCCCGCTGCGGGTAGACGCATAAAGTGTGTGCTTTAGAAAGATGTCTGCAACATGACGGTGCAATTTAAAATCTGGGTCCTACTTTCCTGAGCTTGGACTCAAACATGTCCTGAGATAGGAGAAGGCGCTTTAGGCAAAGGACTGCCGGGGCGGGAGAAGGCGCCTGGTGCTGGCGGGTAGCTTCCCAGCGGTGACCACAAGTGGCCAGCAGGTGTCAGTGCGCCCTCGCTCAGACGCGGCGCGGGCCTCCGCCTCCAGGACCCCTCCCCACCGCGGTCTTAGGGGGCGCGGTCCAGACCCGGAGTCCCTCGGGTCTCGCCGACAGCTCTGCTGCTGGGGCGACACGTGGTCACCCTCCCCAACTGCAGCTCTGAACTCTGCCTGGGGCTGCTCCCCCGGAGGCGCTCCCCATTCCGCCCCAGGGGGTCGATCCGCACCTGTGCCTTCCTTTCTCACCCGGACTCTACTCGCCACGGCCGCCGGTAGCACTTACGGTTGAGGGCAGCCCGGCCCAGGGCGGGACTGCTCCGGATGCAACCCGTACCGGTGGCCGCTTGTCCAGATTCGGGTCACGGGTCTCCAACCCCCTTCCTCCCAGGACGCAGCTCGATGGGGACACTCCCGGGTGCCCGCTGCTTTCTGCTGGGCTGGCCGTAGCCGCTCTGCCAATTCCCAGCAGGGGCCGCTCCCCGCTCCCCGGGCA